AGCAGTCATAAAAACATGTTTACTTAAAACTTAGTATATTTCTTGCGGGCCAAGTGAGGCCAAATGGACAGCGTGCGGACTGTGTATCTGAGATACCGTGGTTCGTGCGTCGTTACTGCCGAAAACAAAAATCGCGCTCAGCGCCTTGTAACATGGGTGCGTTATAAGATTGACAGTCAACTCCTACTATTTGGTCTGATAAAAGTATCCCAAGAGTTAGCGGTGGGTGGTATTGACTAGCTACCCTCCCTCTAATCTATCACTTCAAGATTAAAGAAGGCTAACATAGGTAGCTCTCGAGTAGCTTTGCGCGAAATTCAACAAGCAAGCAAACTGTTTCTTGCACAGCCACATGCATTTCATGTGTCCCTAATGTTCGTCTCTTGAGAAATAGGAATCAGCGCACTTAAATTTTATCACCACGTTTCACTATTCCATGTATGTACACAATCCACTTCCTCCCCTCGCCTCCATACTTTTTATCACTTTCTATCGGTGCAAGCAGATACTTCATGTGATCTATAGTTTATAGTGTTCATATCGTTCCATCAATATACACATAGCGGTATGTCTGCAGACTTACAACGCTAGGAACCGGGTTTCGATACCCGTGGTGGGCAGAGCTCAGATAGCCCATTGTGTAGCTTAACTTCAAATAAAAAATTTTAATTTCAGTATACATTATACGTTTGAATTAATATTCATACTTTTCCATTAATGCATGTGTCTTCTGTACATTTTATCTTCCTCCTTTACTTCAGATGACATTTTATGCCCCCTATGTCAGCTTATCATCCTTCTTGCTCCGCACTACATGACCTTTCGACTGTATGCTTATCGCTCAAGGGCTAAGCGTGGCCTTAATGGTTAACGTGCCGGATTTTGGATCTGTGAGCCCATCGTTCGTGTCCGAAAAACAAAATCGCGTTCCGCACTTTGGGGGCTAGGTGCGTTATAAGAGTAACGGTCAAATCCCCCTATTCAGTCATACAGGAGAGTAGTCTAAGCCAGCTGTCTACTTTCCCATTGTGTATTCAGCTCAAAATTAGGGACGGCTAGAGCAAATAGCCCTTGAGTACTAGCTCTACGCGAATATCCGAAACAAACAAACCTATACGCTCAACGCAGTTCTTTCTGTAAGTGCATATACATTTTACAAACCCTTTGGAACACTCACCTCCTTCCGTTAATGAGCTTACATTGTGTAAGTTAATATTCGTAAATTCACCTCAATTGACTACATTTTGCTAATAAGCAAGAAGAAGAACAAGCAATCCTGCAGATATCGACGACACTTTAATTAGTTCGTGAAGACATTTCAAAATTTAGTGAAGAGTCATTTCGGATCAACGAAAAAACTAATGGCTAAAGTTCTAAGACATCTCTTTATCATTATCATATACCTTCGGTTTGGCTTCGTAAAAAAAAAAGCATTTGAACCAATTTATGCATAAGTAATCGATGCTATATCATATTCTTCATTAGCAAACTTGTAATGTAAGTGAACGCTAGAAGTAGTGAGTGGTAACTGTAATACTTCGAATAATGTTCAGTTGTGAGTCAATATTGCCGGAAAATTATCGTCCCTTTTCTGCATCAGAAATATGGACTGCAATTTTTTTGTTGTCGTTGTTTACAACGCAGAATGAATTCGAAATTTAAAAATATAATTACCTTCGTGACAATAAAACGTTGATTTGTAATAGAACTTCTGAGTGTATTTCCCGTTTGAACTAATTACTTGAAAAGTTAGTTGAAAATCTTTGTAAGTAAGATCGATTTGTTTCAGGTCCTTGTGCTGCAGGAGTGGTAGGACTAAAGATGCCCAGATACTGCCTCTTTGGCGACACAGTGAATACCGCTTCGAGAATGGAATCCACTGGCCTACGTAAGTAAACTGTAAATATATAATGGTGTATTTTTTCTGTTTTATAAGGTATACATACTTCTTGACATGCACTCTCCCCCTTTTCACACAGTGTAAAATTTCTACACATCTTTAAAGGTAATTTTCAGAAGGTTAAGTCATTTCTTACTAAAGATGTCCATAGATGAGTAGACCTATTTATAAAGTAAAAAAATTCAGTAATTTCCTTTTCATTTTATTATAAAATCTAGTTATTCCAAAGATTGTCTTCTATCATCATACACTAGGGTCCTACCGTTAGTACAAAAAAGTTCTTATACAATTTAAAAGCATAATTTAGATACAACAATGTTACCTACTTCGACAAAGCCAGTAAAACGAAAGTTACTCTGACGAAAACTTAAGAAAATAACAGCAGTTGCTTTATAGAATAAAACGGCTCAATCTCAACTCCAGGCTTTTCCTGTGTTGAGTTCAACGGAATATTTTTCGTATCTTTCGATTCAAACAAAATACTTAATTTAAGATGTATCGCAATTTTGATAACAAGAAATTCGTCATTGTTTAATTATATAAAGTTTCTATAACATCATGGACAAAATTTAGTAGCTGTTTTCCACAAAAGACTTGTTGAGCATTTGATGAAAAGAAATAAAAGATCAGAAAAATCAAAATAATGAAAGACGTTTAGATGGCTGGGTTCATTAGATCAATGCCCGCTTGATGTTAGTAATAGTTTCATTAGCTGCTAGAACCATTACGGACAAAATAAGTGGTTTTGACATTGTCAAGACTGGTGTGCTTTTCCTGTTCGGGCCACTTACGAGACGTCAGAGTGAACCACCAATTATTTCATCGTTCTTCCTTCTTCACGAGCGAGAGAAGAAATCAATGAGAGGAAACGAGATGAATGTAAAATCACAAATTGTAAAACGCTTCTTTCGAATTCGGTAATTTGAGTTTGTTTTATTTGTAATTAAGCACCAAGCTACAC